CTCTCCTCTCCTCTCTCCTCTACTCTCTTCTCTCCTCTCTCATCCCTGCGCTCCCCCCTCCCCTCCCCCCTCCCCCCCCCTCCCCCCCCCCCCCCTCCTCCCTCTTTCCCTCAGCAGTAGTCTCGTAGCTGCGGAGCTTCATCACTTGAGAGGAACTCTTCAGGCTGCGTGTGGAACACATGTATTTGGGATCATGAAGGAACTCTCGCTGCTGTCTCTTTCACGTCTATGTTTCCTCTGTAGTTTTCTGGACGGGGCTCGCGCTCAGGAGGCTGCGGGTGATGGAGAGGATGGAGAGGATGCGCTCCAGCGGGGGTTGACATGGCAACACAACGGGCAGATTTTTAGCATCCTGAGCCGCGGCTCTCAATACCGGCCGTCCGGCAGGAGGCAAACCGGGTCGCCCCGCCGCGGTAACCCGGTGGTCGTCCTCAGCAGCGCTAACGAAACGGTCCCGGTCGCGTCCCGGGGCTCCCCGCGGGTCCCCGCTGCCAGCGACACTGCGCAATTGCGCGCGGCGATGCGTCAACAGCCGCGGGCTCGGCAACCAGCGCCCGGCAGCCACGGAGACTCTGCCCCGGTCAGACGGGAATACATGATGGTCGGAGACGACCCGTACAAGTCTTCTAACTATTACCCCTATTACAACTACTACAACTCGTACTACAGACCCAGACCCAGGACCCAGAACCACCACGGATACGGAACCAGCTACTACCAGCACGGTCCGAGACCAACCTTTCCTCTCTGAATGTTTGTGATCTCCACAGGATGAACCAAAGCAGAATCACTTTGATTTAATATCAGTCATCAATGTGTGCCTGTGTCTGTCAATACACCTCATTTTAGTTATTGTAATCTAAACAATATTTAATAATCAGTAAAACATTTATCTTCATTCATCCGTAGTTTATCCTCCATTTAAAGTCGGATTATGAGGCAATAATCCCCCTCCCCCCCAACACACACGCACACACACACTCACCTCTCACACAGACTTTATAGCATTTTGTGTCTCTTTGTAAATTGTTTTAATATTGATCTGAATGTGTTGCTGGTCTTAGGTCTCCCTGATCTGGTTCCTGATGCGTACTACATCCAGACCGGCACCTACATCCAGAGGATGTCGATGTACAACCTCCGCTGTGCTGCTGAGGAGAACTGCCTCGCCTCGTAAGACAACAACACACTTCTTAATTACATCACTCCAATCAATCAATGGACTTTAAAAAAACTACGTTTATAGTTTTATTTATCCAACATTATCATTGAATGAAGTGATATCACCAACACACTGAATCACTGCTGTCAGCTGATCGTAGCTCTGTGATCTTTGACTGAAACATGTCAGGTAGTCCACTGAAAAGTTAGTTAAAGTTTGTTTTCTATCCTCGAAGCAGAAATGTGTCCCGACCTCAGACCACGGATACTTTATTACTTTAATATTTTAATACTTTAATATTTTATTTTGTTTTTTACATTTGGTTACATTCAGGTCCCAGCTGATATCAAAATATTTCAATTTGCTCGTAATTTATATTCTGTCTCCGTTCTTGTCTCCTCCCCTCCTCTCCTCCTCTTCCCTCCTTCTCTCCCCTCCTCCTATCTTGTCATCTCTCCTCCTTCCTCATCCTCCTTTTCTTCTCCCCTCCTTGTCTCTTCTCCTCTTCTCTTTGTCACCTCTCCTACCTCCTCCATCTCTTCTGTCCCCTCCTCTCCCCTGCTCCTCCTCCTCCTCCAGCTCCTCTTCCTCCTCCAACGACTACGACACCAGAGTGTTGCTGCGGTTCCCTCAGCGGGTGAAGAATCAGGGAACAGCTGACTTCCTGCCCAGTAAACCTCGATATTCGTGGGAGTGGCACAGCTGTCACCAGTACGTAGCTCCTCCTCCTTCAGTCTGTGCAGAGTGACCTGATGGATGACCTCTTGTTGTTGTTGTTGTTGTTGTTGTTGTTGTTGTCAGTCACTTCCACAGCATGGACGAGTTCAGCCTGTACGAGCTGCTGGACGCCGACACTCAGACACAAGTAGCCGAAGGTCACAAAGCCAGCTTCTGTCTGGAGGACACTTCCTGTGACCCGGGGTACCACCGCCGCTACGCCTGCACCTCCCACACTCAGGTACACACACACACACACACACACACAGTGTATGCTAACAGGAAATAGGTCTACTCAAGTAAAGTACTACTGACACTTAAAAATGTGCACTTAAGTACAGTACTTTGGTAAATGTACTTAGTTACATTCCACCACTGAGACCAAAAACAGGAACGATCAATCAGAAACGCACAGAAAAAAGAAATAACTGAAAGCCGCAGTAAATAAGATTGTGAACTTTAAGATAATATAATGGTGTGTGTGTGTGTGTGTGTGTGTGTGTGTGTGTTTTCAGGGCTTGAGTCCAGGTTGCTATGACACCTACAACGCTGACATCGACTGTCAGTGGATCGACATCACCGACGTCTCTCCTGGAAAATACGTCCTGAAGGTCTATGAGTCTTCTGGGGAAATAACGTCCCGTGTTTTTTTACATTCACCTCTAATCACATTTTGGGTTTAAGCTATTTACTCTTTGTATTTTTTTCATTACTCACAAGAGCACCAAATGTGGATTCGTCCGCCGCTGAAAATAGTCCCCACGAGACGCATTTCCTCCTGTTTGAGTAACGTTTGCTTAAAACTACATGCAGACTTTTAAAGTCATCATTGTATCATATATAATAAGATCATAGAGTGTGTTCCAATACCCATACTACAACTCTCTTTGGTATGTCCTAATTTACAGTATTTCTAAATGCATTATGCCAAAAATACCTGGATGTTCTACTTCATGCGCTGGCATTTTGCAGTCTGTAAGCCAGCGTGTTTTTTTTCTGGCTATTCTGACCCACAATCCTTTGCACAGCCGATATATGAGCAAGAGGGTCAGAGTTCAAGGTGCCATTGTTTTGAGCAGGCGGCAACTTACGGTTCTGAAGAGTGAAGTCAAAGCTTCATGTGTTAAAGCTGCATTCTCTCTA